TTTGTATGTATATATATATATATATATATATATATATATATATATATATATATATATATTATATATATTTACACAACACACACATACACAAACCAACACACACATACACAAACGCACACACACACACACAAATATACATATATGAATGAAAACAGGCCAATAAGCACTGGAAAAAAATCTTCTTATGACGGGTGTATTTATTTTTCATGTTTGTGTACACTCTGATGTGCTTTAGTGCTGTGTGTTCACATCGTGTTTGAGCGGACTAGACGCGGGTAACGGTAGAAGCCTCTCTCCCTCTCTCCTCCCCTCCCCCTTAACCCTCTCCCACAATGCCTTATTGCGCTTAGCGAGCGAGGACAGCGGCCGGGAAGATCTGATTAACCTTGTCTGGTCGCGCCCTCATTAGGCGTGGCCTTAGAAGCAGACACGCAAGTTCACCAAGGTGGGTCGCTACCCTGAGAAGGAGGCGCACATAGGCGCTATGTATGGATTGGTATATGCAATGCTCAACTAACGCTTTGCAGTCAGTTAAACTTTATTGTCAAAGTTCACAAGGCTGCGTAGGTGAACAGTGTGAATTCACAACTTGTTTAGATGACAAACAGCTGGACGTTGTGTGAGGCGTGGCGTGTGCGTGCGTGAAAGCTGCAAGAAATTAAATCTTCACAATTTTGGAAATATAAGTACACAATAAAGTAAATGAGTCATACAAATATCAAAATTAATGGTAATGAGAATATGAGAAAGAAATATTAAAGAACAAATCAGTACAAAAATTATAAAAAATACTTGAAGAACGTAGCATCTAGTAAACATTAAACAAACAAATGAACTTCTTATTCCTTATACTATTTTAGAGACATTTCCTGAAGTTAATTAAGGCACTTCATAAAAGATCAATAACTAAGACTAGATACTTTCATTAAATGAAAAGGAAATAAACATTATTCTTTGGTAAATAACTGAAAATAAAGCTTGGTAAAATATAAGAATACTGTAGAAAAGGGCAACAGATTAGGACACACTTATAGATACAAATAATTTGAAGTTAAATATCATGTAAAAAACACAACTTTGTTATTACATACACTAAACATCTGAAATACATTAATAGTATAAATAGTTGACTTACAGTGTGGCTAGCCTAACTCTTCATAAACAAGAATAATTCAAAACATACGGCGCAGCACACGGCGTCTCACATGGCTTTCAGCGAGGCTTCGCGGATTACAACAAAGCGTTTTTTTGTAGGGCGTTCGTACAACTCTGGCGTCACTGTAGCAACGTTACACAACTAAGATGAATTAAATAATTATTCTTTGTTGATAAAATAAATCAGATAAATTCTTAGATCTGATCTTAATTCTATACATATAATCATCCTTTACAGTATATATATGTAGATATATGTATAGTATGCCATTTATATATATATATTATATACTATTATATATAGTAATATAACACATATATATACTATATTATATATATAGTGTGTGTGTGTGTGTGGTGTGTGTGTGGTGTGGTGTGTGTGTGTGTGTGTGTGCGTGTTGTGTGTGTGTGTGTGTTTGTGTGTGTGTGTGGTGTGTGTGTGTGCGTGTGTGTGTGTACGCACACACATCCACACAATATACAGCAATACACACACACACACACACACACACACACACACACACACACACCCATATATATATATATATATATATATATATATATATATAGTATAGCACTACCACATATACATATATATAGGCAAATACAGTAACGGACGACAACACACACCACTCACACACATACACACAAACCACACAACCTCAGCACAGCACTATGTTATACGTATATGGTATATTTATATCGTATATATACTATATATATATATATATACATAGTACTACTACATATACATATATATATAGTGTATATATAGGTTGTATATATGATATATATATACTACTATATATATAGTATAAAGTTGAATATATATAGTGCATATATATATATATATATATATAGTACGTAATATATTTACAAATATTTAATATATATTCATATATATATATATATATATATATATAGTATAGATATATATCTTGAATATTACATATTATATATATATATTATATATATATATTATACTATATATATATATATATATAAATATTACATATACATATTATATATATATATATATATATATATATAATATTATTATAATTATATATATATGCGCACCTATCTTTTCATCCACTTCCCTCCCCAACGAGGAAAGCCACGGGACGCGCCTCCGTGAGTGCAGCGGCGACAGGGCCAAGACGCGAGCCGCACGAGCAGGCACCGCTGAGTGCCAGTCAGCCGCCGCAACGACCTTGAGTCTTGGAGGCAGGAACGGCGAGTCACTTGGACCGAGCTCGCTCTCTCTCTCCTTCCTCCTTCGGTCTGTCTGTGTCTGTGTCTTGATTAGTATTGGTGCTGTTGCCGTTGTTATTATTGTTATTATTATTAATTATTATTTATTGTTATTATTATTATTATTATTATTATTATTATTATTATTATTATTATTATAATAATAATAATTATTATTATTGTTATTATCGTCATCGTCATCATCATCATTATTGACATTTTTGTTATTTTTATTGCTATTGCTATTTTTATTATCATTATTTACTGTTACTCTCTTTATTAATGTCAATTAATAGTAATAATAGTAGTATTGATATCATGTTAAATTGTTATTACTATTATCATTAATTATTATTATTATCATATTATTTTATTATTATTATATTATTATTATATCATCCCTCCTTCCTCATCATTCATCGCTATTTTGATTATCATTATTATCATATTTCATTATAATTACTCCATTGCATTATTATACCTATTATTATAACTCTTATCATTAGTGCTATTCGTATCATTTTCATCATGTTTTATTAACATAATGATTACTGCATAAAATCATTACTATCATTCTTGTCACTTATTGTCTTTAAACTTTTAAGGGAGATTATGTGTACTGGTCTATCTGTCTATTGACTTATTAGGTTATCCATCTACATATAACTAACTACTGATATTTTTAATTATCTTTTCTCTGTATTTATCCACTCATTTGTTAAGTTATTACACAACAACACACACACACACACACACAACACCACACACACACACACACACACACACACACACATATACACACACACACACACACACACACACACACACACACACATTTATATACACATATATATATATATATATATATATATATATATATATATATAATATATATATATATTATATATATAATATAAAGAGAGAAGATAGAGAGATAGATAGAGAGAGATAGATGTGTGTGTGTGTGTGTGTATGTGTGTGTGTGTGTGTGTCTGTGTATGTGTGTATGCGTATGTGTATGTCGTCTATGTATGTGTGTATAAACATGTATACATTCATATATACATACACACTGGTAGATACAAAATAGATGAATAGACGGATGGATGGACAGAGAGAGACAGCTAGATAAACAGAATGACAGACAGAGAGATATAGGTGTAAATACAAGCACATTTTCTTTAATTTGCGAGTGTTTTCGGCATTCTCTCCGCTCTCCAAGTGTTCCGCCTCGGCTCTCCCTCTTTGTCAACCAGGCGTGTTATCCCAAACATGATGGTGATAGCAGAAATAATTTGGTATCCTGTCTGTGTGAAAGAGTTCCACTGAACTATAAGCCGAACTTGATTTTTTTTCTTCTCTCTGTCTGTCTCTATCTCTTTTTCTTTCTGTTTCTGTCTGTCTGTCTGTCTGTCTCTTTCTCATAAACCGAAATTGATTTTTTTCTTGTTCTCTCTGTCTCTATCTCTTTTTCTTTCTGTTTCTGTCTGTCTGTCTGTCTGTCTGTCTGTCTCTCTCTCTCTCTCTCTCCTCTCTCTTCTCCCTTCTGTCTCTCTCTGTCTCTCTCTCCCTCATTCTTTATTTTTTCCCTCTTTTTCTCCCCTCGCGAAGCATATCATGAATATGCGTGGCTTTTAAGATGCTGTGGTCCGCCAAGCATCTCCGAGCTTTGAAGTGAAGGTCGCCAAATGTGTCCAGTCGCTGTGTCAAGATGTATGAGATTGGGGGTTTTACGGAAGACAAGAATCTCTACGTCATTTTTTATGCGTAGTTTTGCGGAGGAAAAGAAAAAAAAGGAGTGGGTTTCATGCCTAATTTTGCGGATTGAAGCATAAACGCCTATAAGTTTTTATGTGTAGTTGTGCGGGTGGCAAGAAAAACGCCCAGGGAGTTGTGTGTGGTTTTGCGGAAGGCAACTCAAGCACCGATTTTTTATGCTTAGTTTAGGATTTGCATACTTACATGCACACACACAACACACACACACATATATATCATTATCATCATATGTATTACATTTGCATATACAATACATGTACAGACATACACATATATATATATTGTAAGTCTAGGAAATTAAAAAGAAAATAACGGTAATGAAACACTTTGATGAGAATCTATGGAGAAAATTTAGCTCTGAATAAGCATTTTGTGTAAGAGATGTATTGTGTGTGTGTGTGTGTGTGTTGTGTATGTATGTGTATGTATGTGTGTGTGTGTGTGTGTGTGTGTGTGTGTGTGTGTGTGTGTAGATATGTAGTATATCTATGTATATGGATGCTATTGATTTATTTTTAAAGTGGCAAAATGCAGGAAGCTATATTGTGTTAAAAAGAAATGAAGAAAAAATGGATGAATTGCGCTTGAACGTCTTAGGTAAGAACTGTCTCTCTCTCAGACTGAAATTCTACTGCTTCTGTCTCCTCGCGAGTGCTTTCCCAAATAAAGAAGAAAAATAGGTACAAAAATCATTAAAAGCGAATCGCAAATCCTGCACATCAATCACGAAATCTACGCGTTGGACGGCAAAGGATGTGCTCGCTCTGCCGGAACTTACCATCTATATATACACAACATCATGTGGTCGCCGTCACTCGCTCACCTTGCATCACTGTGTCGACATCGTCCTCTGAGTGAGTTGGAGCTGTGTTGTGGTGGTAGGGAAGGGAAGGGAAAGGTTGCTATGATGGTGATAGCTTGGTTAGATTCATAGTTTTTGTAGTTTTTTTTTTCTGTGGGGGACATTTTTTGCGATTGTCTTTACCGCTAAAATCATCGAATCGAGTTACTGATCTTTACCATGGCGTCTCGAGGCCTTTGGGTCTTGGTCGAATATTTGGTGTTTGTTTTAGGTTTATTGAGCTATTTAGTGAATTCGGGTCTGAAATATGGATCAAATTGCCTCGGGTTTATCTATCTATCTATCTATCTATCTATTTATCTATCTATTATCATCTATCTATCTATCTATTAAATTCGACCGAATATTGGTCACTTCGAGTTTCTCTGGCCTTCGCGGTCGCTGAGGTCGAGGAGAAGGTTACATGGACCCCGTGGGAAGGGCTGCTGGTCGATCCTGTAGAAGGTGTTAGCGTGTGGGACTTGTCGTGTGTGTTGAGTCTGAAGAGCTTCTGGAGGTTGTGCAGTTTGTGAAAGTTCTTGAATATGTGGTAGTTGTAGAATTTGTGGAAGGTGTGGAGAGTGTTAGGTTGTAGAACTTAGGCGTGTGGAGACTGAAGAGTTTATGGAGGTTGTAGACTTAGTGAAAGGTGTTACCTTGTGGACATTGTAAAGCGTGTGGAACTTGTGGAAGTTGTAGAATTTAGTGAGTTATGAAAGTTGTAGCAGAACTCGTTGAGCATGTGGGAAGTGGAGTTGCAGAGCAGGAGGTTTGTGAAACTTGTAGTTTATGGAAATGGTAGAAATTGTTAGACTTTTACCTTCGTTACCCAGGTACAATCTGCCGGACTAATGTCTACCCCCCCTCCCCCTCACTCAAACTCATGGTCAGAAACGATGAATCTAGTTTGTGCATTGTGGGCTTTTCTACCATGGTCAGAGAGGAAGAAAGTGTGAGATATTCGATCACATTTTATTATGCCAAAACGTACGTATTTGCAGTACATTACTAACGAGGGATTCAGGCTGTAAAACTGTCTGTTAAATTGGTGTAGACAATAACTTTGGGAAAGATCTGAGCGTCCATTTGTGTGGTTTCGTAGCTGACCATGGTGTACTTACTATGGGAAAATGTTGATTGTAAAAGTATGTTGAAACAAAGAAAACGTGTGTGTAGGCCTATATTTCCATAAACGATCATCAACAGTATCAACGCCTTTGTTATGCCTCTTAGCCTATAGGATTTCGCAAATCTTGTCCGCTAAACCACAGAAAACCAACAGGCATAAAAAAGATTAAACCAACAATGACTTTCCTTTTTTTTCCAGGCAAAGAATCGCCCTCGTTGTGTGCTCGCCATGAAGGTCTTGGCTGCCGTGCTCATCGCGCTGCTTGCGTTTACTCAGCGCGTGGGCGGCCAGTTCGACGGAATCATTCACAACATTGCGAGTAAGTTGCTTTTGCTTCTGGGAAAATAGTGCGGAGTCAGGACACAGAAACACACACACACACACATACAACATACATATATATATGTATATATATATTATATATATATATATATATATTATATATATATATGTATATTATATATATATATATATATATATATATTATATATATGTATATTATATATTGTGTATATATGTGTGTGTGTGTGTGTTTGTGTGTCGTGTGTGTTTGTGTGTGTGTGGTGTTTGTGTGTGTGTGTGTGTGTGTTTCGTTATGTATTGTATAATGTTGTGTACGTAAATATTAATTGGAGTATGTATAATAAGTATGTGCACGTACGCGCCTGTCTACCTATATGCATGTGTCCGTGTGCATACAACCGTGCACCCACACACGCGAATACACAACGCACTCACCCCCATCACTACGTGCCTCCCCCTCCCCCTTTGCCAACAGAAAGTACCCTTTGCGAGAACCAGTACAACGGCTGCGAAGACAGCTTTGAGTGCTGCGTCAGCCTCCTGAGGCAGCGGCAGCGAAAGGCCCTCATTGACAGGGTGTCCAAGTGCGCGGGAGACAGCGGTGTTGGGTTCGGCGCTGTGTTTGGTGAGTTGGTGTTATTGTCACCGTTGTTGTTGTTGTTATCATCAGGATTTTTTTACTATTCTTGTCATCTTTATTATTATTATTATCATTTTCATTGTTACTGTTATTGTTTGTTATTATTTCATTGAAT